AAAATATTATTACTGTCCAGTTGAAAAACTAATTTTGTGGGTCAACGAAACTTAAACTATAGCTTTTCTTATGCTAAAATGTCATTTACATCAACAACTAACAATTTCATTGCTCCATAATAGTATTTGGATCTCTCAAATCAATGAAAATAGAATATTTATTAATTATTTATAGAGAAAAATATAATTTCGCAAGAATAAATCGAAACAAGTTAACGGATTGATTTAACGTTGAATAACGTGAATACGACCATAAATATTTTTTTTATTATACTGTACAAGTTAGTATCCGAACAAATGCCCTAAGATTAGCTTATCTTGACAAGGCACAAATTTACAAAGATGGGGAGAGAGTGAGTGAAAAGATTTGTGGCTCCATAATTGCATCAAATATGCAATTATTTCTTCAATCCAAGCCAATGGTTAATTGGCTCCAGCTGTTTCTGAGACAGACAGTTTTAATCCACTGTTTAAGGTTGGAATATAACTTTAGATTAAGAAAAGCAAGGGAGCATAGGACAAAGGCGGAGCATGTGCAAAACCTCCAACTTTAGCCCACTACTCATAAGAACAAAGATCACATCACATGCCTTTCATGGGTGGCTGAGTTTGTAGAGTAAATGAGCGTGAAGGTCTTTGATCACGAGTTTGATTTTTCCTACCAATACTTTCTTGGTCGAGTATGTTGCACTGAACTTGCCGAGTTCGATTTATCTGGTTGGTGTGATTTGCAGACTATTGCGTCAACTCGAGAATTTACTCAGTGTGTACCCGAAAAGTAGTGACTGTGAATTTCCAATCATCAAAAAATAAAAGGTAATTAGCACAAAACATCCCTACCTTTCGATGTTTTTGTGGAAAACGTCCCTACCTTTCATTTTTTTGACGGATTACACCCTTACCTTTACCTTTTTTTGCGCAAAACGTCCTTCTGTCAACTCTCCGTTAAAATGCTCCGTTAAATCAAAAAGGTAATTAGCACAAAAGGTCCCTACCTTTCAAAGTTATTGTGCAAAACGTCCATATCCCTACCTTTCAAAGTTATTGTGCAAAACGTCCATACCTTTTATTTTTTTAGCATAATTAGCAGAAAAAGTCCCTACCTTTCAATATTATTGTGTAAAACGTCCATACCTTTCATTTTTAGCATTTTTACCCCTTCATTTCACATTTCATTGCGCAAAAGGTCATTTTCATCCATTTTTTAATAAAATCACGATTTTACCCTCCTATTGAAATAAAACAAAAAGAAAAGAAAAAAAATAAATAATTAATTGCAATCATAGTTCTAAATCTTTCAAAACATTACAGATAAATCCTAAATTCTCCACTACCGCCACTTTCACAACCCCATCAAGCCACCACCTATAGATCCATATAGCACCACTTTTCGACCACAACACCTATCAGACTCCACCACCACCAGTGTCGCCTCACTCTCCCCAATATCCTCCTCCATAGTATTGGTCACCAATCTGTCCGAAACAACCACATTTACGGTGGTTGAGTCCGATGGGCATGGTGGCCGAAAGGTGGTATTATGTGGATTTATAGTTGATAGCTTGATAGGTTATGAAAATAGTGGTGGTTGAGAATTTATGATTTATCTGTAATGTTTTGAAAGATTTAGAACTATGATTGCAATTAATTAATTATTTTTTTCTTTTCTTTTTGTTTTATTTCAATAGGAGGGTAAAATCGTCATTTTATTGAAAAAATGGATGAAAATGACTTTTTGCGCAATGAAAGGTGAATGGTAGGGGTAAAAATGCTAAAAATGAAAGGTATGGACGTTTTGCACAATAATATTGAAAGGTAGGGACTTTTTCTGCTAATTATGCTAAAAAATAAAAGGTAGGGACGTTTTGCACAATAACTTTGAAAGGTAGGGACCTTTTGTGCTAATTACCTTTTTGATTTAACGGAACATTTTAACGGAGAGTTGACAGAAGGACGTTTTGCGCAAAAAAAAAGGTAAAGGTAAGGGTGTAATCCACCAAAAAATGAAAGGTAGGGACGTTTTCCACAAAAAACATCGGAAGATAGGGATGTTTTGTGCTAATTACCCAAAAATAAAAAATAAAAAAAAAGATCACATCACATAGTATAACCATAATATAATATATAGACACATACTCTTTTCCTCTTTCCCAAGAGGATTTTGTTTTTCTATATAAATTTGAGTTTTTATATAAAATTTTTAAATGTATTAGACAATATAATATATCAACGATAATAATTAAGAAAGAGAAAGGGCTCTATATGCCTTTTGAAAGATGTTTGCTTTGTTTTTGTAGATCTTAAATTCGACACCGTTGTTGTGAAGATGATAAGATTTTAGTGAAGACAAAAATATTGAATCCTAAATTCAGCGCCCAATTATAAAATGGAAAATTTACAAAATACACCGTATATTTAAGGTGTATTTACAATTTGCATACCATATTTTATAATTTACAATTTACATATTGTATTTCACTTATTGGTAACAGAGAACATATTTTGCAGAAAAAATAAAAAAATTTATAAATTTGTTACTATAAATAGTTTTAAAGACCAATATACCTCTAATTAAAAATAACAAATCAAACCTTATATTTTACATTATAATAATTTACAATTTACATTATCATTTATTATTTTTCGACACTGTAATTTCTATTACGTTTTTATCTAAGAACTTCTCTCTCTCGTTTTATCTTTCACATGAATTAATTTTCTTTTAATTCAAGTCTTTTCAGCATACTATTCACTGGTCATTTTTTATTTTATTTTTTTTCATTTATCGAACAAAACTGTATATTTTTATCGGGAATACTTATAATTGTCTTTTGTTAGTTAAACCTTCTTGTAAAAAAGAAAAGGAACATCAAAGATAAAAATAAGAAAATAATGTATGAATTCTTGAAATTTTGTTAAATTGTACAATTGTTTACTTTAAAACCTCAACTTAATATGAATAGGAAAATAATTTTCAACGGCAAAATAATTAATAATATTATTTTACTTGATCTTCTGAAAATTTTTAATCATTGAACATAATTAATTTATTAAATGATGTAAACAAATAATTTCATTTGTCCATTTAATAATGTAGAAGAAAATTTATATATATATATATATATATTATTTTTTTTTTGAAAACATTATTTTATTAAATCTATTTTCTATTTTTTCAGGTTGTGGTTCAAAGAAAATGAAGATGTCAAATTTGGTAAACATCATGGTAGAAAAACCATCTTTTAAAGAAAGAATTATAAATTACTTAAACAAACAATATTTAAAATGATATATATAACTTAATATAAAGGATGTGGTTTGGAATTTTTAATTAAGGATATTTTGGTCTGTTCAGATACTCATAATGTCAAATTTGTAAATATTTCTAACTCTTCAAGCAAATTTTTTTCCCCCCAATAGTAAAATACAGCAGTTAACATATAAATTTATAAATCGGGTAGACAAAGTATGAATACATCATAAATATATGGTGTATTTTGTAAATTTTCTTATAAAAATTATTTGTTTCGAGAAAGAAAAAAAAATGAACTTGACCTATACGTGACTACTGTTAATTTTTTAAACGAATTGATTCGATATTATGGGCTATATATTGTTTTGGATACAACATTCGAATTAGGTCAAAAGGAATATATCAAAGTCCTTTTCTTTTTCTAAATCTTGGTTAGTTTAGGTGTTAACAGCTCACCACAAGTCAAAGACTATTCTTGAACACACATCGCCTAGTAGAAGCTATGGACTTTTTTGCCCTCCGAAGTATAGTCTAGTGATGCAAAGGATAGGAGTGACGTTATCTCACGCCTTGCTGGCAGTCGCAGTGTGGGGATTCGATTCCTGAAATATGGAATTGGACTCCTTATAGGCGCAGTATACATGCAGCTCTTGTTTCCTGGCCTGCTGTGGCACATCCAGCGATTTACCTCCCTCACAAAAATCTAGGGGCCGAGCGATGGGGGCCCTCAAGGTTGGGGTTCAACCTTTTTTTTTTAATGGACTTTTTTACCCAAAAAACATTAAGAACTCGTTTGATTCTCCTTAAATTGAAAAAATATTTTAAAATAGCAGATTGATGGAGAATGTGTGGTCAGAAAATTTTTAAAATTTTTGAATTTATATATAATGTTATTTTATTGAAAAATATTTTGTTAAAAGAAAAGAGAAAAAAATGTATTTTAAGAAAAATGAGAATCAAACAAGGCATATCTCTTTGTTATTTGCAAATATACAAAGATAATTAATTGTAGAAAAAAAAAAATAATGGCTCATTGCCACCTCACACTAGTTACATGATGTTTCATAATTTTTCAATATATAGTTATACAATCAAATTTTTAGTGAAGCAAACGTTAATATTTTATTACATTGCACCTACTCTTCACATGTCTAATTTTATTAATGGTAATTCCATTGGAGCTTTGATGTGACACTATTGTCCTAACTATTTTTTCTATCATAAAGTTTTTATTTTTAAGAAAAATAAAATTAAACGTTCAAGTGTATTATAATATGGAAATGGAAAATACAAAATTTTGAAAAGGGAATAAGCCTGATATCTCAATGAAGCGAGAAACCATAGATTTGACTCCTCTCAAAGATAGAGGGTACAAAAGAGCTAAAAGATGAAAAATAAAAAATAATATGCGTGTCTTCATTTCAATTCGAACTTTTATGCGTCTCATAATATACTATAAATGCCCTTGTCTGAATTGAAGGGAGAACATCCACAATGATTTCAACTCAAAAATCCCCAAACTCAAATATCTACTCATAAAATTTTGACAAATTTGATCCTCCTTTGGGGCTTTCACAGTGCCACTAGATGTCGACTTATTAATCACTCTTACACTACATAGGATTCAAAAATTCACACAAAAATAAAAATTAAAAAAAAAAAGAAAAAGAAAGAAAGAAAGAAAGAAGAAAAAAATGAAATTCAAACTCATTAAAATAATGTAGATTCATTAATGACACTTTAAATAGGCAGATCTGCAAAAAGAAGATGGAACCTTACAAAAATAAGCTACGTCACTCCCATAATCCACAAGCAACGCCCATCTTTATTGCTTTGTCCATTTCTTCCAACCGTTTACCATTATCATTTTCTGGCATAAAAAACCTCAGTTTTCTTGAAGAATTTCGTGTTGCATAGGGCTTAATTTTTCTGTTTCAATGTTTTTAAGGTCTCTGTGACACAAAATACAATGAAACCATTAAATACCAATGTTTATAGCCATACATTTTCATCAATTTTTGTAAAATTTGCAGTATGTTTTCTTCTCTTGGGCCTTGCCTATCGTTTGTTTTCCTCAAGTGTCTTACAGTTTTCTCCTGTTGTGGTTCCTACTGATTTAGCTTTTGATGAGGATAAGGAAGCATTGCCACCCAACCTACCAGTTTCATCAAGTGACCTTTCGGTGAACCATACACCAAAAACTGGTAACTGAATCTGAAAGTGTGAATTTTGATTTTTCCGTATAAAATTTAATTGTTTTATGTGTGTAGTAGTGTGTGTTTTTTTCTTTTTTGATGCAGGCAGCTATGAATACTCTTCAGTATTTTTAGATTTGATTCTGTCTTGAGAAATTTCCCAATTTATGATTACAAATTTAATGTTTATGCATTCAATTAAGGGAACAAAAGTGTTTAATCTTGTTCAGTGATTAGCTTAAAGGGGTTACATTTTATTTTAGCTTGTTCAATTGGTGGGCTGGAGTGGTATTCTCAGTTCTTAACGATAAAGATTGGCTAACAAAGGATTCATGTAGCTCGACAACGAATTAATGTGCCTTTTGATGTTGTAATGGAGCCATTCCATTTTTAGTGGCACTAAAATCTGTCATTTTTACTGCCTTGTTTCCCGACTTATACGGGTTTGCTTTGCATTTTGTGTTGCAGAAAAATGCAATGTATTTGTGGGAAATTGGGTTCAAGATCTCACTGGTCCGTTTTACACAAACGCTACTTGCTCTTCGATTGAAGGTCATCAAAATTGTATGAGGAATGGACGGCCGGATACAGATTATGTTTATTGGAGGTGGAAGCCGAGAGACTGTAATTTACCCAAATTTGATGCAAAGAGGTTCTTGAATATGATGAGAGGCAAATCGTTGGCATTTATTGGTGATTCCATTATGCGTAATCATGTGCAATCGCTGCTCTGTATGCTCTCGCAGGTACAAATTCAGTGCATATTTCATAATCATATCCTACTTGGTTCTGCTGATGAACTGCTTACCATCATGCAATGTATAGACTAATTGATATTAACGTCTTAACTACTCAAAGATGGAGTAATTTGTTCAACAATTTCTATCAAATTAAGCTGTCCTTTAGCTTATTTTCATTATTTGATGAACAGGAGGTGGTCTGAGGGTCCGGTATGTCTGTCTGTCTTTTCTTTAAGTGGGAATAGTAAAACTATTATATCAATAAAACAACAATAACAAAATCTTGTCCTGAATAGGTTTGGGATTGGGTATGTGACCCTTTTCCGTTGCTCATTCCGTAACATTATTAAGGTCTTCTCGGTGATGTGAAGGAGGTTTCTTTTGATGGTAGCACTTTGTACGTCTTCTCGGTGATGTGGAGGAGGTTTCTTTTGATGGTAGCACTTTGTACGTCTTCTCGGTGATGTGGAGGAGGTTTCTTTTGATGGTAGCACTTTGTACGTCTTCTCGGTGATGTGGAGGAGGTTTCTTTTGATGGTAGCACTTTGTACGTCTTCTCGGTGATGTGGAGGAGGTTTCTTTTGATGGTAGCACTTTGTACGTCTTCTCGGTGATGTGGAGGAGGTTTCTTTTGATGGTAGCACTTTGTACGTCTTCTCGGTGATGTGGAGGAGGTTTCTTTTGATGGTAGCACTTTGTACGTCTTCTCGGTGATGTGGAGGAGGTTTCTTTTGATGGTAGCACTGTTAGAAAAATAATTAGTTGCAGCAGTGATCCGAACAATATAATTCAGAAATATAAAACTTATCGTCCGATCGAGTTTCGTGACAACACGATGTCCTAAAGTGAAATTGCCCGTCAATAATTGCTGTGACCTCCGTGGACAATCACTCCCAGGATACAACGATCGTAAACCACTTATGCAGCAATCACGAATGGTTTTTCTAGAACTCTCAATTGTACTCCAGAATAGGTATAAAAACCCGAATATAAGAAATTCACAATATGAAAAGAGTGATTGATTCTATTTTCTATTTGTGTGTCTTTTCCCAAAGCAAGATATGGGTTTATATAGGTAAGATGGTAGTAACAGTTTTCACCATGTTAATGCAGAATTTTAATGACTGAGTAGTGGGTTGTTACAAAAACAAACAGTCATAAAATACTGGCTAGTTTTA